ACTTCTCTAAAGATTTATTTAGGTTCCTTAATTATAGAGAGGTTTGGAGGACTGGCATGTGGTTTCAGTTTACAGTTATAAATGTTGGCCTTGGGGATGGGTATGTGCTAACGTTGCCAGAGAGGAAGACGAACGGGCTTGTGTTCTCTTCAGGGCCCTCTACCTGGTCTTTAAAAAAAAAAAAACAAGAAAAAGTAAAAGAAAAATCTGTGTTTGTAGGCAGTAAGTGTGATGACATTTATACTGTACTTGAGATGAGTGTGTCAGTAGTACAAACAAACTTTTTCAGGCTGAAGTATTTTCATTGGTAAAGTGTCACGTCAGTTCAAAGTCATTGTCTATTGAAAGCCTTGAACGAATAAATACCTCTTTTATCCTTTGTCTTATGTTAAGATTGTATTCTCCATCAGATGAATCAGCCCTGTCTTTATGGACAGGGATACATGGATAGAGTTCACCCTCTGGGTCCATGGATTCAGCCAATCTTTTTTTTTTTTTTTTAAAGGTGAGCATCTTTTTTTTTTTTTAACATTTATTTTTTAGGTGTAGATGGACACAACACAATGCCTTTATTTTTATGTGGTGCTGAGGATAGAACCTGGGTCCCGCCTGTACTAGGTGAGCACTCTACTGCTGAGCCACAATCCCAGCCCCGATTCAGCCAATCTTGAGGGTCAAAAATATTAGGGAAGAAAATTGCATCTGTACTGAACATGTATGGACTTTCTTGCCTTTATTCCCTAAGCAATATAGCATCACAACCGTTAGCATGACATTTACATTGTTAGGTATTCTGAGTCATTTAGAGATGCTTTAAACTGTGTAGTAGGATAAGCTTAGGTTGTATGCAAATACTATACCATTTTATATAAAGTACTGGATCATTTGCAGATTTTGTTACCCAGGGGGAGTGGAGTAGATGGGTAGGAGAAGGTGCTTGGAACCAATTCCCATGGGTGACTACTTCTTTTTTGGACAAACAAAAAATAAGCTAGTTCAGCTTAGGTGTTTTAGCTTGCAGTAGATCCATGGAGAGGCATTTGGTGATCTCTTGTGTGTGTTATGTGGTTATTCAGTTTTAAAGTCATTTTCCATTACTGTGGATCTAGTAATGGTGTACAAAGGTAAACTGCAGTCCTAGGAGGACTTTAATTCAAAGGCCTGAATTAAACAGTCCATGATGAGTTCCATAAATATGTATGATCGGAAAACTTTACTTGTGTTTGCCAAAATGTGCTTTCCTGCATGGCTTACCAAAGATAATAATGGAAGTGGCATCTCTGAATTATTGTTTAGAAGTTGGAGGAGTAGGACGAGAGGAAGGCTAATAAGATATGTAAGCAAAGCTTTCCTTGCCTGCACAAAGGCCATATGAGAACTGAATCTTCAGTGTTTACTGTTCTTCACGGAGCTCACTCCAGTGCTGACTTTGCCCCTGCTTAGAGAAAATCTACCCATTCAATCGTTTGTATCTTGGTATTGATTATGATTTAGGCTTATAGTGCTGTGAATGGCACAAAGGTTAATTGATAGAAAGCCCCTGATCCACTAGAAGCTTCTCTTTCTGGTAGGGGATAGAAGGATGATTCTGTACCTAATTATGACATACAAAGATGTTCTGACATTCATCCTGGGCTTGATACCTCCATATACTTTTGTTTATTCTGCTAAAGTGGCTGACTATGTGAACAAGTTCATCCAGGGTGAATGATTTGTTGGAGGTCACATAGGTGGGGAGGTATAGACCTGGGACCCAAGAGTCACATCTGAGATGTTTTCTGCCTCCACATTTTCCGCTTTTCCCTACCATCCTCCTTAAGTGGTGGTTCACAAGATGGGCTGCTTGCTTCTGCCCTGGGAATCAGAGAGTGCTAGAGAAGACTGAGAACACTTGAGCTGCCTGGGATCTCAAGCATGGCTTTGGTTTTATAGAGAATGATTTTGAAGGGCTTTGAGATACTGAAGGAGTCAGGAGTACACTGTTCAAATGAGCAAGCTAGAGTAACCTGTTGCTTAAAAAGACCCTGTTCATCATTATACTCTTTGTCTCTCTTTTTCCTCTTATTCATACATTCATTCAAAAATATGTTTAGAGACCATGCTAACACACTATTTTAGTCACATTTTCCCCTGCTGTGACTATGTGACAATTATGGAGGAGAAAAAGTTCATTTGGGGGCTCACGGTTTCAGAAGTTTAGGTTCATAGAGAGCTGGCTCCATTTCTTGGGGATCAAGCACCAACACACAAAAGGAGCTACATTCTGGAGAAAAGAGTGGAAGGAGCATCTCAGAAGCAGCCCCTGGTGTACAGGAGGCACTGACTAAAGTCAGTCCTGGAGAGAAAAGAAGTGATACAATTTAAATCAAGATTGAGATTTATTAAAAAAATATATGTTTAGAATCTACTTATTACATGTGCAGGGACATAGGCTCATTGATGTGAAGGTTACAAAACAAGGCTCATGGTAAGTGTCTTTTAGGCTCTTACCGAAATCCAGCTGGAGGATAAGATATGCTAACAAATCATTGTAAGAGAACATGTGCCACGACGGGGAAGAATGTAGTTCCTAGTATTTCTGGGTTCAAGTTAGCAAGTATCCTCCTGAGAAAGGGATCATGGGCTTCTCCTGTTACCTGTCAGGATGATTTTTCCTTAAGATACCAGACATTTACTTTGAAGAGTTTTGTTGAATATTAAATTCCATTATGAATATAAGGATATCTCCCTCTCACTCAGCTTCTGGCACATTGGAGGTATTTACTAGATATAATGCATCCACACTACTTTCAGAAGAAAAATGGTGGGGAAAGCCCTGTGTGGTCTAGATGGCCAAATATGACCTCTCCCTGCCTCCTGGTTCTTCACCAGTCTCCCTCCTTCTCATGCTTCCCTGTCTCCCTGCAATCTAGCCCAAATGCAAAGGTGCCAAGTGCCAGTGATGAAGAGCCGGGATCATTTCTGGCTCCACTGTGTCATACTGCCAGTGTGACCCTGGCAAATGATGTTCTTGCTTTGTGTTAGTTTTGTGAGATTTAAAGCGTTTAAGCATAAAGGGCTTGGAGACAATTCTAATACATGGTAAATGTTGCTGTTCTTAGTTCTAATGACTTTCTAACCTAGCTACTCTCCTGTTTACAGTCTTGCAGTGTGGCTCCATGTGATTCTATTGTTCTTAATTTGGAATCTGCCTGTCTATCTCGACAGCTCATCTCTCATCCCTCTACCTTATGTTCTGCCTTCCAGCACAATAGAACTGCTCATAAATGCTCTCCCTGACCTGTCTCCATCTTATCATCATATTTTAGACCTTTGTTTGTGCCCAGCTACTTCTTTTCTTTTGCTACTGGGAATTGAACCCAGGGGAGCTTTTCCAATGAGCTACATCCTCCGTCCTTTTTTATTTTTTGAGACAGGGTCTTGATAAGTTTTTGAGGGTCTTGCTAAATTGCTAGGGCTGAACTCAAGCTTGCGATCCTCCTGCCTTAGCTTCCAAGTTGCTGGTATTATAGCAGTGCACCACCATGCCAGGCATTGCTGATTAATTCTGTAGGACCACCTTTTTCTACCTCTTGAAGGTTCTCTTTCCTCCAGGTTCTACCCCCTGAGGTCCTTGCCTCGTTTTACAGTGCTTTGCTTGACTTTATTGGGCTCAAAGTCTTGGCTAGATATTTCCTATTTATTACTCCTGTGCTTTTGACTGAGAACTCATAAAAGAGGCTGAATATTGATTAATCGCCACATTTCTGGCTTGTTCTTGATGCATAGTAGACTCTCAGTAAGTGCTTGTCAACAAATGCATTAAAGGAAGATCTGTTTTAAATACATTATCCATATTGTTAGAAGTATTTTTCAAATAGCTCGGGGGATCAAGACTTATTAATACATTTTGAGGAAGGGGAGGTCAGCAGGAGGACTGGCCTTCTTCCTTGATGAGGTGCCCTTTGTCATTGGTAATCAGAGTGAGGAACTGAGGAGCCTAGGACTGGACAAGAACCACAACAAATCCTATAGTGCCTGTTGGGGTCTCAAGAGATTGCATTTATTGTAAATGTAGTAGCTTCATGACGGAAATGCCACAGAGATGATACCATGTTCCCAGTCTTGTTCCTCCTGTGTTGAAGATTGAACACCTGAGAAACACAAAGGGCAAGAGCAAAAGGTTTTATTTAAAGGACGGAACAGAGAAGGAAAGACAGAGACTCCACCTTAGAGGAGGGGGTCCAAAGTTGGTGCCTGAGGGAGCGGGGGTGTCTTGCCCCTTTTATAGGTTTTAGATTTCCTTTGTTCTCATGCCCCCTCTCCCCATCCTTCCTGCATGACCAAAAGATGGAGTGATCCAAAGGTGGGAATGAAACTGCTCAGGGGTACAGGCAGGAAGGGAGCCACCCAGGGGCTACTCATTAAGGGAGGAACAGTTCTCTGGAGGTGGGTAACCTTGGCAACAGGTTGGAGGAGGGGGAAGTGCTCTGGAGGTATTAGCATTTTATTTCCTTTTGAATCAGCCTAAACCATCTTCCTGACCCCTGTCATTCATTACCTATACTGACTGTCCTTTTGCCCCCTCCTCCCATTATGTTTCAACTCCCATATATTGGTGGTTTCCTCACTATGTTGAAACTCTAGTGTGTTGCCTGGAAAGTTCTCAACATTATTCAGTTGTAGACATGGGGCATAGTGTTTTCTCCTTGGTTCTCTGAATTACCTAGATTTTAATAAAAAGAGTCATCAGTATAGCATGGAGGGTAAATAAAACCTATCTATAGGGTCCAATAAATCGGTGCCATTTTGGTTTAACAGAGAATGCATGGGAAAGGGTAACATGGGCCACAAAGAATGCATTTCTTGACTTGTTTCAAGAATTGGGAGGAAATAAAATGTGATGTCTTGGCTCACTCTCTAAACCATGTTGGAGTGGCCCTTTAAAGAATCCAGAGTTACATCTGATAAAGCGTTCTAATGAGCTGAATTCTAAGGACTTTTTTCCATTTTCCCTGCAGCTTCGCCCTGTCAGATGAAGCATACAGATCCCTCCGAGATCAAGATAAAGATCAATGTATTCTCATTACAGGGGAAAGTGGAGCAGGAAAAACAGGTGAGGCCACCACCTAACAACCTGACCTTCTCCTCAGTGGAAGGTCAACACGGTGCTCAATGACTACAGTAGAGAGGGCATGTAGGGCCTCCTCAGCAAGACCTTCCTGGCCCCAGGAGCCTTGCTTTTGCAGGAGGTTGCTGGTGAGAGCAGGCTGGGTTTTAAGAGAAGACTTCACTGTATCTGTCAACTGAAGAAGCCAGATAACAGTTGGGGTTCCAAACAATGTGGGGATCTGTTGCTGGATTCTGATCCTTGCTAGCACCGTCTCTGGGTATGTTAAGGCCTCACCTTTTCTCCAAGACTCCACAGCCTGTGTGATCTTACAGAGTTGATATACTTCCCCAAGGAATAACAAATTATTCTGGTTTGGAAAGGCCACACCGCACCTTATCTCTATTAATAAGTGAGGGAAAGCACCAGGAAAATGCATAATTTCACTCAAGTCTCCTGCTGAGCCCTAGAAAACACACACACACACACACACACACACACACACACACACACATTTATATTTTAGATATCTGGCAACCTCTCCATAAAACAAGCCCCCAAAGGAAGGGGTTGTGCTTCTTTGTCTTGTGCTTTCATCTGATTTGTGGCTTTGAGTGTGAAGATTGATTTTCCGTAGGATCTTCAGCTACCTGGAAAGATTCAAAGGGTTGTCCTCTCTGACTCTGAACCTGGAAATGTTAAAATTGCTGTTGATGGAACTGGTGAGGCAGTGGAGGAGGAGGCTGAGGGTGCAAATATTTTCATATGTTTATCTGAAAAATGTTTTTTTTTATTGTATAAATAAGAATCTCCTAATTGGTTATTTCTTTTAGTATGTAAATGTTGGTATTTTAAGTGTTTGTGCTTTGCATGTTTGTTTCCTTATCAGATTTAAATATTTGGAATGCCCATTGATCAAGAGAAGAAAACCCGCCCTAGCTGGGCAGTCACCTGATAAATCCATTCAAAAGCTCTTAGATTTGGGCCTTGAAAGCCTCACCTTCTGTTTTGACATGGCTTTTCCTTCTACATGGACTCCTTCCTCCACTTCCTCTAGGAGTACCCCCTTCCTGCCCACTGTGTACCTAAAGAAGAGTGGTTAGACAGGTGTCCAGTTCTCTTTCTTGAGAGCTTGGAGACATGGTGCCCTGTTTCTTAGCAGGGTTGTGCACATTCTAGGCTTTGGATGGACAGAATGGAGGGAAAGGGACTGGCATGTAAAATTCTTAGTAATAGAAAGCATGGCATCTTGCAATTGGAACGTATCTCACATAAGACCTTCCACATGGGACAGCCAGACTCTTCCTTTTGTAGCAATGGAGGGCTTACCACTTTGTAAGGTGGCTCATTGAATTTGTCAGATGGGCTCATCTAAAAGTTCTTCCTCTCTCAGAGTTGAGTTGAATTCTGCCTCTATCCAGGGGTCTTAACTCGGCCTTTTGGAACCTTCCCAAGTTATTCTGATTTTTCTTCTTTAGACACTCAATTATTTTAATTCAACCATCATATTTTCCTTGGGCTAAAAGTTCTTTTTCTTCAAAAATTTCTCATGTGATATATATTCATTTATGCATTCATCAGGAAAAAAAATTACTGATTACCTAATTGTTGAAAGGTGCTCTGCTAAGTATTAGCGATACATTGTCGAACAGACACCTTCCTGGCCCTTACCAAGTTTGCAGTCTAGTAGTGGAGAGAAACAAGAGCTCTGTACTGTACATACACATATGTATGTATGCACATACATGTACAAATTGCATTCAGATTATAAAGGTAGTGAAAGAAAAGTGCAGTGTGCTTATGAGAGCTAATGTTAAAGGAGAATTGGATCTTATTCTCAAATCCCTCATTGTCATGGCCATTTTGTTCTGGAAACATCTAAATCTGTTAGTGTGCTGCTTTAAGTGGCATACTAGGAAGTAAACAAAAGTTCAGGATTATTCTCAGTTGTGGTGGTACTGTCATCTGTCATTCTGTGGACCCCGGGCTGCCATTGATATAACACATGAGTAGGCTTGTATTTTCATCAGGCAAGAGGTTGTAGGGTTTTGCATATAATATCTGTTAGGTCAAATCTTCTCAAGTTAATATGGACTGACAAAATTATTTTAAACCTACATGTAGAATCTCATGCTTATTTTTATTAATTTTGGTCTATTGTTAGAATCTCTTGAGAAACTGACAAAATGTGATTCTGCCCCTCCCTTAGGACCACTGTCATCTACTAATCATAAGAGTAGCTATCCTGCCTCAAGCACTTTCCCTGTGCTGGGCATTGTGCTCTTTTAGCCTATTACATGTAGGAAGTTAGTATTTTGTCATCCCCATTTTATGATGGGAAAATTAAGACTTGGAAAGGTTAAGAAATTTGCCTAAACTTATATAGTAAGTGGCTGGGATGAGGTTTGAGTGGTGGCAGCATGGTTCTAGAGTCCCTGCTCTTATCCATTTTTTTTCTTTTTTAACACTTTTATTAGTGCATTATAGTTATGCATAATAGTTGGGTTCATTTTGACATAATCATCCATGCATGGAATTTAACTAACTCAATTTCAGTCCCTGATGCCCCCTCTTTCTATTCTATCCTACTTCCCCTATTCATCTTTCTCTGCTTTACTGGTCTATCTTCTCTCTCTCTCTCTCTCTCTCTCTCTCTCTCTCTCTCTCTCTCTCTCTTTAAAAATCGGTGTTTTGTAGGTGTACATGGAATTTACTGTGGTATATTTATAGATTCACGGAGCATACTTTTGTCACATTCATTTCCATTTCCTCTCCTTTCCTGTCCTTCATATCTTCATGTCTTGAACATGTTCTTTTTGAGTGCCTTACTACCATTACCTGTGTTGGTAAGTCTCCTTCCACTAACCACCAGTGTTTTTTAAAGGAGAGATTTTGTTTTGTCTCTCTCTACATATAAATGATGGGATGAATATCACCCCCAATCCAAGGAGCTAGCCTTATGTCTATATTTAAATAACTAGGGGAAAAAAAAAAAAACAGTGAAAAACATCGGGCCAAAGAATGATCCTGGATTTTGCCCAGTCTCATTTAACATATAGATCTCTCCTAGTAACAGGTTGTTTTGCTTAGTTCTAGGTATCTTTCTTTCTCTTTCTGTTGTGTCTCTTTAGGTAGTCTCAACTATTCCCTGATCATGTTTTCTACATTTATATTTCCAGCCAGTGCTTCTTAACAGATCTCCCAGCTAGTATATCCAGTGTCTTCCTGACATCTCTGCTTGAGTAGTTGTGTCTTAGTCTAAGCATGTACGAAATGGAATTCTTGATTTCTGTCTTTACCCTCCTGTAACCAAACTTTATGATTTCAGTAAACGTGACCACTATTCCATCTAATTATCAAACTAGAAATGTAGGTCATCTCAATTTCTTCCTTTCCTGTATTTTACACGTCAAGTCCACTTTCCAATCCTGACAGTTCTACATCTAAGCTATATCTCTTGCTATACCATTTATCCTATTCTTTGTGTCTGCATAGAGACCAGTCCAAGCTACCTGCTGTAACTCTCTTGAGAACCACTCACAACAGTGGAAGATGATGGTTCTCTGTCTTTTGGCTCTTCCTCCCCGCCCCCCCCAGTCACTTTTTACAATCTTTGGCTGTTTAGATCTCTTTTGTATTGTAGGAAATTTAACAGGACATGGTCATCTTGGGTGAATTCTTTTAAATCTTCCTTTTCCCTGACCAGTTCTTTCCTGTGAAATGAATTTTATTCTTAGAAGCAACAGAGCTGTGAGTTTGTGTCCAGGTTGACTGAGGGAAATGGTGGCAGACCACACAAAACTATTTAAAGCGTGAATGTGTGTATGTTGTGTTTTCTTGCTTTTGGACTATTACAAAAGTAAGATACACTCAGGTCACGCTTTAAGAATTGTTTTATTGGGCTGGGTATGGTGGTGCACGCCGATAATCCCAGTGACTTGGGAGGCTGAGGCAGGAGGAAGGAGGACCACAAGTTCAAGACCAGCCTCAGCAATTTAGTGAGGTTTTGTACAATTTGGTGAGACGCTGTCTCAAAAGTAAAAGTTGCTTTATTTCTCAGCTTCAAAAAAAATGAGGGTCGGGGGACTTAGGGATGTGTCTCAATGGTAAAGCACTGTCTGGGTTCAATTCTCAGTACCCAAAAAAGTATAATTGGCAATATGTAGCTATAATTTTGAAAATTAAAGAAAAGAAATGGTGGCAAGGTAAGGTAAGATTCTGCCCCTTACCAGAAGGCATTTATCATGGTGTTCTAACTACACCCCCTCTTTCATCCTGTTGAATCCCTCTACAAGCCCACCTGTTCCCTTCTCATAGCTTCCTTTTTATTGTGGAAGAAGATATGAAAGTATTCCAAAGCCTCTTAAATTCTTTAGGTGATTAACCCAATCTTTTTCATGACTAATTATGTGTATATCCATATACATATGTAAATATATAATTTTATAAAAAGGGCATTCTCATTATATCAATTTGTTCCTAAGTGAGTCATTACAAGTGGGTTGCGGTCACTTGTTTGATTGGTCCTGGCCAATTTTTCATGTCCTCTGGAGCATATGTTCCAAGAAGGCAACACATCCACTAATTAGCACTATCAGGGTATGACATCCTCCTTCTTCAGAGTTAACTATACCGCTTGCTTCTAGAGCCAGATTCTGTCTCCTGCTGGGCTCATGTAGCTTATTTAAAAACTGAACGGAGGTGGCTGATGCTATTACAGAGGGTTGGTGGTCATGATGATAAGGGGAAAAGCACAACTCAAACAGCAAAACACCTCATTCTTCTGGTAGAACTTTTTATTATTTTTTCTGCTCCATAACTTGTCTTGTTGTTTCTGTGCCCTGGTAACACCTTGGAATCCTTTCCCCCATCATCTCCCCTGGAGTTAGCCCTTCCTGGGATCCCTTTGTTCTTCAGCGTAAGTTGGAGAGTGGAGAGCTGCCTCCAGGGATACTGTTCCATGTGCAGCGCACAAGATAGGTACTGCTCCAGGCCAGAGCTGGAGG